AAACCTTGTTAATCTGACCCAAGGGGCCAAATGTTGGTTTTGTACCAGTGTGCCTTTGAAATTAAAAGTTAATTTATTTAAAAACGGAAAGAAAATGACTAAAAAATTTCTAAATCTGGGGAAAAAAATAGACATCTACATTCAAGAAGCCCGGAGGACCATAAATAGATTGAACATAAAAAGTTTTATACCAAGACACATTGTAATTAAATTTTCAAAACTCAAAGACAATCAGAATTTTTAAAGCCACAAGAGAAAAGTAACTCATCACATATAAGGGAACCCCTAAATGATTGTCAGTAAATTTATCACTAGAAACCTTGCAGTTCAAGACCGTGAGATGATATAACTAAAGTATTAAAAGAAAAAAAAAAGCTAACAACCAAGAGTACTATATACCCAGAAAAACTACCCTTTCAAAATGAAGGAAAGATAAAGTCTTTCCTAGGAAAACAAAAACTAAGGAAGTTGGTCACTACTAGATCTGTCTTACAAAATGACATGCCTAAAGGGATTCTTCAAATTGGAAGAAAACACACCAAACAACAATAGTAAATCATTTAATTAATTTATTTATTTTTAAGATGGAGTCTCATTCTGTTGCCCAGGCTGGAGTGCACTGGCATGATCTTGGCTCACTGCAACCTTCGCCTCCTGGGTTCAAGTAATTCTCCTGCCTCAACTTCCTGAATAGCTGGGATTACAGGCGCCCACCACCACACCCTGCTAAGTTTTGTATTTTTAGTAGAGACAGGGTTTCATCATGTTAAGCAGGCTGATCTCAATCTCCTGACCTTAGGTGATCCTCCCGCCTCAACATGTCAAAGTGCTGGGATTTCGGGCGTAAGCTACTGTGCACAGCCCCAGAGCGTTTGAAAGCACAAATCTTACCAGTAAAAGTAAATATACAGGCCAGGTGCTCACGCCTGTAATCCCAGCACTCTGGAAGCTGAGACGGGCGGATCATGAGGTCAGGAGATGGAGACCAACCTGGCTAACATGGTGAAACTCCGTCTCTACTAAAAAATATACAAAAATTAGCCAGGCATAGTAGTGGGTGCCTGTAATCCCAGCTACTCAGGAGGCTGAGGCAGGAGAATGGCGTGAACCCGGGAGGCGGAGCTTGCAGTGAACCGAGACTGTGCCACTGCACTCCAGCCTTGGCAACAGAGTGAGACTCCATCTCCAAAAAAAAAAAAAGAAGTAAATATACAGAGTAATGCATATTAATATAACACTTTAATAGTGGTGCATAAATTATAGTCAACTAATATAGAAGTAAAAAATATCTAGAATAAGCATAACTGCAAATATTTGTTAGTGGATTCATAACATTAAAAGAAGTAAACGTTGGCCAGGCATGGTGGCTCATGTCTGTAATCCCAGCACTTTGGGAGGCCAAGGTGGGCGGATCACCTGAGGTCAGGAGTTCAAGACCACCCTGGCCAACATGGTGAAACCCCATCTCTACTAAAAAATAAACAAAAATTAGCCAGGCATAGTAGTGGGTGCCTGTAATCCCAGCTACTCAGGAGGCTGAGGCAGGAGAATCACTTGAACCCAGGAGACAAGTGTTGCAGTGAGCCGAGATCATGCCACTGCACTCTAGCCTGGGCAACAGAGCAAGACTCCGTCTCAAAAAATAAAAAAAAGAAGAAGTAAATGCTGGCTTTAAGAATACAAAATATTTGTGGGGAGGAGTAAAAGTGTAAAGTTTTTGTATATGATTAAAATTAAAGTATTATCAACTTAAAGTAGATGGCTATAACTACAATTTAGTTAATGCAAGCCTTGTGCTATCACAAAGAAACAATTATAATAGCTACACAAAAGGTAAACAAAAGGCAAATCACTCCAAAAAATAACAAATATTAAAAGAAGACAGTAAGACAGAAAAGAAGAATAAAATAATTTTAAAAAGACAAAAAACAATTAGCAAAATGGCAACAGTAAGTCTTTATTAATAACATTAAATGTAAATGGATTAAACTTCCCATTGGAAAGACATAGAGTTGCTGAGTGGATTTAACACACAGACACGTGCACACACACACACACACACACACAAGATCTAGCAGTATGCTGTCTATAAGAGACTCACTTTAGATTTAAGGACACACACAGCCTGAAAGTGAAGGGATGGAAAAATATATCCATGCAAATGGTAGCCAAAAAGGAAGCAAGGGTGACTATATTTACGTGAGAAAAAATAGACTTCGAGTCAAAAACTGTCACAAGAGACAAAAAGGGACACTATATAATAATAAAAGGGTCAATCCACCAGGAAGAAATAACAATTATAAATAGATGTGCACCCAACACCAGAGCACTAAAATATGTAATCAAACTATTGATATATCTGAAGGAAGAAATTGACAGCAATACAATAATAGTAGGAGACTTCACTACATAACTTACAATCATAGCCAGAACAACCAGATATAAAATCAATAAAGAAACTGACTTGAACAACTTTATGTTCGAATGGATCTAACAGACATATACAAAGCTTTCCATCAAAAAGCAAAGAATACATATTCTCCAGTGCACATAAATGTTCTCTAGGATAGATCATATTTTAGGTCACAAAATAACTCTTAACAAATATAAGAAGATCAAAATTATACCAAGTATCTTTTCTGATCACAATGAAATAAAACTAAAAATCAATAACAATAAGAAACTGGGAAAATTTACAAATACATTGAAACTAAACAAACCAATTGAACAACCATTGGGTCAAAAAAATACAAAGGGAACATTAAAATATGCAGAGACAAACAAAACTGAAGGAATAGCACACCAAAACTGATGGGATACAGTAAAAGCAGTAGTAAAAGGACATTCATAGTGACAAATGCCTACATTTAAAAAAGAAGAAAGATTGCAAATAAACTAATTTTACACCTCCAGGAACCAGAAAAAGAACAAAACAAGTCCCATATTTGCAGAAGGAAGGAAATGGTAACAATGAGAGTAGAAATAAATAAAAGATGGAATAAAAAACAGTAGAAAAGAAATCGAGGAAACAAGATTTGGTTTCTTGAAAAGACAAACAAATTTGACAAACTCCATAGCTAAACTAACTTAGAAAAAAAGAAAGAAGTCTCAAGTAAATAAAATAAAAAATGAGAGACACTACAGCAGATGAGTCAGAAATAAAAAAGGATCATAAACGATCATTATGAACAATTATTCATTAACAAATTGGATAACTTGGAAGAAATAGATAAATTCCTAGAAATATGCAACCTACCAAGACTGAATTAAGAAGAACAGACACATTTTACCACTGAGATTGAATCAATAATTAAAACCTTCCCAACAAAGAAAAGCCCAGGATTAGATGGCTTAATGGGTAAATTCTGCCAAATATTTAAAGAACAATTAGTACCAATTCTTACACCTTTTTCAAATAATTGAACTCATGTTTAGGCCAGGATCACCCTGATGTCAAAACTTAGCAAAAACACCACAAGAAGAAAAAAAAAAACAACTACAGGGCAATATCCCTAATTAACATAAACATAAAAATCCCCAATAAAATACTAACAAACCAAATTCAAAAGCACATTGAAAGGATCATACACCATGACCAAGTAGGATTTATCCCTGAGATGGAAGGATGGTTCAACATATCAAATCAATCAGTGTAATATACCACATTACCACAACGAAAGATAAAAACACATGATTATCTCAAAAGATTCAGATGTTGTTTACAATATTTTACATCCATTTATTATTTAAAACTCTCAAAAAAAAAAAAGGAACGAAGAAACTTACTTCAACATAGTAAAGACCATATATGAAAACCCCACAGCTAACATAATAATGGACAGGGAAAATTTGAAAGTTTTTTCTCTCAGATATGAAGCAAAGCAAGGATGATCAATCTTACCACTTCTATTCAACATGGTACTAGAAGTTCTAGGCAGAACAATCAGACAAGAAAAAGAAATAAAAGCTATCCAAATTGAAAAGAAATAAGTAAAACTGTCTTCTCTTAAAGGTGACATGATCATATATGTAGAAAATCCTAAAGACTCCATACAAAATATTATTAAAACTAATAAACAAATTCAGTAAATCTGCAGTATAAAAAATCAACTTGCAAAAATCAGTGGCATTTCTATATGCTAATAACAAACTATCCAAAAACGAAATTAAGAAAACAATTCTATTTACAATAGCAACAAAAAGAATAAAATACTTAGGATAAATTTAACTAAAGAAGTGAAAGACTTGTACACTGAAAGTTATAAACCATTGAGGGAAGAAACTAAGGGAGACATAGAAATGGATAGACATCCCATGTTCATGGATTAGAAGAATTAAAATATTTAAAATGTCCACAGTGCCCAAAGAAACATACAGATTTAATGCAATCTTTATCAAAACCCCAATGGCATTTTTACATTAATTTTAAAAAGCAATCATAAAATTCAAATGGAACCACAAAAGACTACCATATCCAAAGCAATCTTGAGGGACAAAAAAAAAAAAAAAAAAAAAAAAAAAAAAAAAGCCAGAGTAAAAAAAAGCTTGGAGCTGACAATATATTACAAAGCTATAGTAATCAAAACAATGTGGTACCAACATAAAAACAGACATGTAAACAAATGTAACAGAATAAAGAGACCAGAAATAAATCCATATATTTACAGGTAACTGAACTTTGACAAGGATGCCAAGAGGACACAATGGGGAAAGGATAGTATCTTCAATAAATGTCATTAGAAAAACTGGATAGTCATACACAGAATAAAATTAGACCCTTATCTCACATCATATACAAAAATTAACTCAAATAGATTAAAGACTTTGACATGAAGACATGAAACTGTAAAACTACTAGAAGAAATTATAGAAAAAAGGCCTCGACATTGGTGCTGGCAATGATTTTTTGGACATAACACCAACAGAAGAGGAAACAAAACCAAAAATAAACAAACGGTATTATATCAAACTAAAAAGCTTCGGTCACATGGTGGCTCATTACTTGCTTTGAGGCAGGTGCGGTGAGTCTACTGTGGGCTGGTCCGGATTCCTCAGGTTCCGCCCCCCAACCACTACCCAGCCAGTTCGTGGAGAGGAGAGGTACACTTTACAGGTCCTTGATGAACCAAGAGAACACTCCACCATATCCAGGCCCTGGTCCATCAGCCCCATACCCACCTTATCCACAAAAGCAAATGGGCCCAGGACTATGGGAGGGGGCCCTACCCACCTTTTCAAGGGTACCCTATCAAGGATACAAGGATACGCACAGTACAGTTGGCAGGGCAGACCTCAGGAGCCTCCTAAAACCACAGTGTATATGGTAGAAGACCAAAGAAGAGATGAGTTGAAACCATCCACCTACCTCACAGCCTACTGGACTGCTTTCTGTTGCTGCTGTCTCTGGGTCATGCTCACCTGACCAGCCCAGTCATCCTGTTCTGCCAGCTCTGCCACACCTCTGATAGGTGTACCTGCCCCTGTCTGTTCTGATTGCTGTAATAAATGACTAGCTCTGCACAGACACCTATACCTTCGGCACTATGGGATTCTAGATTCGTGAGGGCTGCTGCGGTTTAATTCAGTGACTTGATCTCTTTAATGTCCAAAATACATTTCTTATTGATCTTTTAAAATGTGCTAAGTGACTTTTTTTTGGCCAAAGGCTTAGTTGTGGAAAATATATTTATAATTTTGTAATTATACATTCACGGTAGTGGCAAAATGTAACACACCATGAATGATTTCTCTGTTTACACCTTGTATGTTTCAATAAATTTGTTCAAACCTCAAAAAAAAAAAAAAAAAAAGGAAGAAAGAAAAGAATCAACAAAGTGGAAAGGCTACCTATGAAATGGGAGAAAATATTTGCAAATCATATATCTGATAAGGAGTTAATATGCAAAACACATAGGGAACTCATACAACTCAGTAGCAAGAAAACAAATAACCAATTTGAAAATGAGCAAAAGATCTAAATAGATATTTCCCATTTGTTTATTTTTGCTTTTGTTTCCTGTTCTGTTGGTGTCATATCCAAAAAATCATTGCCATCAGCAATGTCAAGAAGGCTTTTTTCCATGCTTTCTTCTAGTAGTTTTACAGTTTCAGGTCAAAACTTCATTTTGAGTTTATTTTTGTGTATGATGCGGTGTATTTGTATGACTCAACAGAAGGCATACAAATGGTCAGCATGGAAATGAAAATGTGCTCAACATCAGGAAAATGCAAATCATAACACAATGACATATCACCTCACACCTGCAAGGATGGCTCTACTATCAAAAAAGACAAAAGTGTTGATGAGGATGTGGAGAAAAGAGAACCCTTGTACATTTTTGATGGGGATTTAAAGTGGCACAACCACTATAAAAAACAGTCTGGAGATTTCTCCAAAAGTTAGCAATAAAACTACCATATGATCCCACTTCTGGGTGTACATCCAAAAAAAATGAAATCAGGATCTCAGAGATACCTGCACTTCTGTGCTCATTGCAGCATTGTTCACAATCACCAAGATATGGGAACAACCCAAATGCCCATGGATGGCTGAATGGATAAAAAAAAATTGTGGTATATTTCTACTATGGGATATTATTTAGCCTTTAAAAAGAAGGAAATTTTGCCACTTGTGACAACATGGATGAACTTAGAGAACATCATGTGAAATGAAGTAAGCCAGACACAGAAAGACAAATATTATATGATCCCACTTACATGTGGAATCCAAAAAACTGAAACTCATAGGAACAGAGAGTCAGATGGTAGTTCCCAGGGGCTGAAAGGCGGGGGAGATGTTGGTCAAAGTGTAATTACAGTTCTGCAGGATAGAGAAGTTCTGGGGATCTAATGTACAGTGTGGTGACTATAGTTATAATACTGTACTGTATACTTGAAATTTGCTAAGGGGGTCGATCTTAGGTATCCTCACCTTAAAGAAGGGAAAGAAGGAAGGAAACAAGAAAGGAAGGAAGGGAAGGAGGAAGGGAGGAAGGGAGGAAGGGAGGAAAGAAGGAAGGAAGGAAGGAAGGAAGGAAGGAAGGAAGGAAGGAAGGAAGGAAGGAAGGAAGGAAGGAAAAATAGAAAAAGGGAATTAGTGAGATGATGGGTGTGTTAATTGTCATGATTGTGGTGATTATTTCCCAATGTGTGTGTGTGTGTATATATTCACATCAGTTTGTACACATTAAGCATATATAACTTTTATTTGTTAATTAAACCTTAAAAACTGTTAAATATAAAATAAATCAACGTATTAAAATAAAATATTAAAATAAACACTGCCCTCTTTCTCCAATGAGGAACTTGGCTTTTGATGGTAGCAAAAATTCAGAGAAGAAAGCCAAATGCCACTAAGGAAAAAGTTGTTGAGAAATTATTCATTATATATTTGCTATATTTGCTAGTATTTTACTATATGTATTTGCTATAAATATATATATTTGCTAGTATTTATTTTTGCTATGTATTTGTTAGTATTTTAGTCATTCATTAATCAAACCATCTCAGGGTCCCTTGATGGGAAATGACAGTGAACGCAGTTCTGTCCATTTCAGAGGTAGAGTAATTTGGGTCACTTGGGGTCCAGGTTACAGTTTCAATGTTAACAGGATTAACAGAGATGAAGGAAGCCTGTCTCAAGGCAAAGCTTAGGAAGAAAGATGATGCCCCCATTCCCAGTATCGTCACTAATATCATGTACTTCCCACTGTTTACTCCCCAGCACATTTTGATCAGACATCTTGGTCCACATTTGATTTATTGTTCAGTTGACATGAAACCCAACAATGGTATAGTTAGAAGGCTCGCATGAGGGTGCCTGCAGGGAGAGTAATTATTTGCCAAGAGATGAACTGCGATAAAGGAGTAGCGTGGGTGCAGGTTTCCTGTTGTGCCCAGAACCAGCTGTTCATACATTGTTGATACCAAAATATAAAGGTGACTGCACTCTTTTTCCTTAGAATATGCAATTTATATTTTATCTGCTTGAGACTAGGTTTGCAGGACTGTGCCTAACTCCTTTCCCTCCCACCCACGTTCCACAGAGAGAGAGCTGTGAGTGAGCCTCTTGGGACTAGAACTTGTTAGGAGGCCCTGCCATCTCCACGGTTCCTTCCTCCCAGGACAGCACCTGCCTGCCCAGGATGTTACTGCCCTTCCCAATGGACCCTAGACTTGCTGCTGGAATCTAGCTGGAGAGCTTCTGGGAAGGAGGGTGCTCTGCAGGCAGGCTCTTGGGGAATGGGTAAAATAAGGGAAATTGACACTTATTGAGCATCTACTCCGTTGCCTGCACTAATCCGTTTGATCCACATGGCATGTTGTGATTCATACCCGCATCTTACAGATAAGGAAACCGAAGCTTGGGGAGGTGAAAAAGTGCATCCAAGACAACTCAGCCAGTAGGTAAGGAAGGCCAGGATTTGAACCCAGGGATGTTTGGTGCTGACGCCCTGCTGTTTCCTCAGATTCGATCTGCCTCCCCACAATGGGAGGAGAGCCCCCAGAGGGTCCAGGGAGAACAGATCAAAATGCTGTTCCCTTCCACGCTGTTGACGTCCTCCCTGTACTAGTCCTTGGTTAGATCCTGGTTAAAAGACTGCTGGTTTTGTAATTGTGATTCCTTGTCCTGGCTCGTGTTGACCTTACAGAGTATTCTGGCCCAGGTCACAGTGACCCTGTTGCTCTCTGGCTGTAGGTGTGGTCCCTCCAGAGAAAAAAGACCTAGCTGTGGGGTTGAGGTGTGTCTAGGAATGGGCTGAGTTTCCAGTAGACGCCAGGTCAGGGCTTTGTGCTACTCCAGCTGAGGCCCAACCTCTCTCCGTTGCACTGCAGTGAAGAGGCCTGGATTGCTAACATTAGCCCATGCAGCATTGTGCCAGACACAGTCTACTGGGGCCCCTGTCTTTTTTAATGATCTCACTCAACCCTCAAATGCGCTTTTCCAGGTGGAGATCAGCAGCCCCATTTTACAGATGAGGAAGCTGTGGCTCAGAAAATCCAAGTGACTGGTTGTGCCTGGTAGTGGAATGGGATGTGGTGTCAGGGAGACCTGGCTTTGAATGCCAATCCTGTTTCTTTAGAGCTTTGTGCCTCGGGAAATGCCACTTCAACTCTGTGATATATAATTATCTTGTCTGTAAACCAAAGTAAAGAAGAAAACTGTCTCCTCAATTTGTTGGGACAATTAAGTATATTTTTATTTAAAATACCTGGCATAGTAGGTACCCAATGAATAATGGTTAGTGTAACTACAGGAATAGTCACTGAGTTTAATATCACATGTTATTTCTTATGGTTGTCAAGAGACCTGTGCTGAAATATATTCTGAGCTCATATCTGGGAAAAAATTCTGGTATTGATGAGCCATATTTGCTTTGGCAGGGGAGGGCGAGTGGCTGCATACGTATTTCCCATGCTGGTTTAATATTATCAGGAGGGATTTGATTTGAGTTCTACTTTTGTCCAAAGCACTCACTCTTTCTACTATATCCATTTTAGCCTTCCCTACTGTAATTTCCTGGTTATTTTAATTTCTTATGGTTTCTGTAACATATTACTACAAACGAGGTGGCTTGAAACAATACAAAATGTATTCTCTTGTAGTTATGCAGCCCTGAAGTCCAAAATCAGTTTCACTAGGCTGAAGTCAAGAGCTTCCAAAGGCCCTAGGGGTGAATCCATTCCTCACCTCTTCCAGCTTCTGTAGCTGCCAGCATTCCTTGGCTTGTGGCTGCAGCACTCTCCCATCTTGGCCTCCATCATCACATGGCTTCCTCTGTGTGTGTCATCCACCTCTTCCTCTCTCTTAGAAGGACGCTTGAGATTGCTTTTAGGGCCCATCTGGATAATCTCTCCATCTCAAAATCTTTAAGTTAATCATATCCTCAAAGATCCTCTATTTCCCTATAAGGTAACATTTATAGGTTCCAGGGATTAGGACCTGATGTGTTTAGGGGGCTACTTTTCAGCCTTCCACATTAGGCTTTATATCCCTATTCCCAAAAACCTTTTTAGCTGAGCAACTCAACAGCCACTGAAAGGTTATGTTTCATCTTAGAAAGGTAAATTATAAGAAATTCTGAAATAGAGGGTCAGCCTGACTCTTGCTGTCACTCAGATTTTAGACCCCAGACTTAGTACCTAAGCTTTAGCCTTTTCTCTCAAGACCAAGTCCCAGCCGGGCATCTATGCCCACATTTATTTTCTTTTTTTTTTTCCTGAGATGGAGTTTCACTCTCGTGGCCCAGGCTGGAGTGCAGTGGCATGATGTTGGTTCACTGCAACCTCAGCCTCCTGAGGCTCAAGCGATTCTCCTGCCTCAGCCTCCCAAGCAGCTGGGATTATAGGTGCCCTCCACCACACCCAGCTAATTTCTGTATTTTTAGTAGAGATGGGGTTTCACCATGTTGGCCAGGCTGGTCTTGAACTCCTGACCTCAGGTAATCCACCCACCTCAGCTTCATTTCAAGCCTGCAGTTTAAACTTCCCATCTTAAAACACTCCTCTGGATCCTGCATGGAGTGCATGCCCCTAATCCTGGTTTCAAGTCTTGTGTACCCTCTGCAGCCTGGCTTCTTGAATAGTAAGGTTAGGCAGAGCTGCTGTAACACTAGACCTTAGCACATAATGGCTCATCACTGTCGAAATCTCCTTGCTGATGTGTATGAGTGAAGTAACTGACTCTCCTCTACATGATCTTTAGGGAATTAAACTACTTTCACTTT